GCGGCCCGCGGGGGTGGGATAGACGGCACGGGCCGTGCAATGGGGGCTCGGCGGAGACCCCGCTCGCGGGGGGGTCGAAGGGGTAACGCGGGCCCCGTTTCTCCGCGTCGCTGAGCGTATGGGGATTCTCCGCCGGCTCGTGGGGCTCGAGCGCGATCTGGTGGTTCGGTGCGACCGTGATATTGACTAACATCATCACATTTTGCGTCAAGGTTCCCGTTTTATCGCATAAAACGTAATCAACCTGGCCAAGATCCTCCAAAATACTCGAATTATTCACGCGGCAGTTCAACACCTCCTCTTCCTCCTCGTGTGCGGAGATCCAAGTGTGCATCATCGTCTGATCCCATTCCACCATCTTTGACATGAAGTACTTGCTCAAATCCACCACCATCCTAAACGAGATAGGGATCATCACGGATGTCAAAAGAAAAAAGCGCAATGAGTAAATTAGAAATAACGAAAACGTGGAATTCTGCTGAAGAGGTAAATACCACTTCTGCGCCTTAGGCTTCTCGTTCTTCTGCATCGCTATAATCCCGAAGATGATGGAGATAGTTATTTGAAATATAAAAATCAACATCGCATAGTAATTAATATCTTTATCCATCTTTGACCACTTTGCTGGGGTTTTTCGTTTATTCATCCCGTATTTTGTATCGTTGCCAGTGTAGACCGCCATCGCGATAATCCGATCTGTGTTTTTGAGAAGACAAAACTGTGGTAAAAGATGAGCATGAGATAGGGGAACTGAGTACACACCATCACCAAAGGATTCGCCAATTTGCTGGGCTGCCTCAGCTGTCTTCCTCATTGGCTCTCTTTCGCAGTAGTAAGAAAAATCGTTTGTGGCGCGAATAGAAGGCATCTTATTAAAATCGAAAACTGCCATCCCGTTAAAGGAGTCGATGGTGGGGTTTGGCTGCATGCACGTCAACTCAAGGCAAGCTAATTTCTGCCGAAGCACGGCGGGGCTATCGTCCATGGAGATAAAGGTCTTCCGCGCGGTAACAGGAGGAGGAAAAGGGGAAGGAGAGGGCATCTTCGAATAGGGCGCCTGACCCCCTCTTTTACGTTCCTCGCTTTCGGAGGAGGAGTGGAGGGGGGAGAGAGACCACATCGGTGGCGAAACCACCTCCCGCTGCTTAAGATCGATCTCGCCGTCGAGGTGGTCGGTGCGGAGGTAGATCGTCGGCGCGCTCGCGGCGAGGGCGACGAGGTCGCACGGGCAGTCCTCCCCGCCCCGCAGCATCACGACGTCGCCCACGCGGAGTGCCGCGTTCGTGGAGTAGACCCACCGCCCCGCGTCGGTGTTCAGGACGAGCCTCGGGCGCGTGTTGTAGCGCTGGTCCTGGCGGTGCCGCGCGAGGTCGTCCAGGCCGGCCTTCGCGGCCCCGACGCCGACGGCGATGAGGATGGGCAGGAGGCTGGAAAGCGGGCTCACAGGGGCCAGCGTCGGCACAAACAACAGGGCCGTGACGAGGAGGAAGTAGAGGTTGAGGGGGCAGCGAAACTGCTCGTAGAGGTTCAGGGGAAGGAAGGTCGCGAGGGTGTAGTGGGTGTTCACCACCGTGTTGTCCGCGATAGGCGGGGGGCCGGGGGGGGCGG